AAAAGAGATGCAAAGTACATGAAGAAAGAAAAAACCACAAAGGTATAAGAGCCATAGCTTACTGTTTCCTGCAGGATTATCAGTGAAGATTCGCATTTGCTGCACACCAAAGAGACTCGACAAACCAAAATCCGCGATTTTCAGCATCATCATAAAGTCCATCAATATATTTTCTGGCTTAACGTCCAGATGAAGGATACGGTATTCTTCCTGAAGGAAACACAAATCACTGCAAATTGCCTTGATTATGTCGTATCTCATATTCCACTCAAGGTCCAGAGATTCATCTGTATAAATTGCACTGTTCAAGATATCTTCCGATATTCCGATAAATCGGTCGATTTATCGCTTACCAGTGTCTGACCGATAAGATATATTGGACGATAAATCAACCAATATGATGATAAACCAGTGGATATGCCGATAAACTGGCCGATTTACCCCTTATCATGGGTCGACCGATAAGTTCCCGATAAGCGATATCCCCAACATTGATAAATTGGTAACAAAATTTTAGGTAGAACAGAGGAAATTCTATACCTGTTCACTGATTACACTTTTGGTACAACTAAACTTAGTTTCGAGTAGCATGACTTTTCTAAAAAGTCATTTTCCATATGCATTTATTTTCCTTTCCATATATAACAGACTTCCTTTTATATGTGTGTGTTTGTGTGTGTGCGGGAAATGATACGCAGGACTAGTTTCACTTGATGCAGTGCTCGGTAGCTATAGCACCTGGTTAGACTAGTAGCTGACAAAATATTGCTTGAGTGATGTTCTGAGTAAACTTCACAAATGAATACAAATAAAATATATAAACTATGTATAATGTTTGGTCATCATACCGGAAATATGCCCTCCCCCGCGCCTCAGCCTCCCCTCCTCCGCGCCGCCCCTAGTGGGCGTCTCGGGGGCAACTCCCCCCGCGCCGGAGTAGCCCCTCTCCCTCCCCTCTCCCCCTCGCCGCCGCACGAGGCTGCCGCCGGGCAAGGCCCATGGCGCAGCCGGGGACTGCGGCGGCGGGGCATGCGCTGCTCTGGTTCACATCGGAGGGTCTTGGATCTGGGCGGCGGCCCCCGGCGAGGCCCCTTGTCACCTGCGGTGAGCAGTGGGGTAGGCGCGGTGCCGGCGATCTGGTCGGGTGGCCGGCGGATCTTCGGTGGGCTGGGACCTCGCATGGCTTCCCTGGTGGTTGGCGGCGTCAGATCTGGCTGCTGGCCATCTTCCCCTGCTCGGTGCGTTTCACCCTCGACGGTCCCTGACTGTGCAGGCGTCTGGCCTGCCTCTGGGTTGCGGGTGATTCTGGTGGTCGGGATCCAGATTAGGGGAAACCCCTGGTCGGCTCCAGCTGGCCATGACGACGACGACGTCTGCGGGCGCCGATTTCTTCATGGAGACGCCGGTCGAGGTCTGCCCTTCCACACCCCACCACCTTGCTTCTCGGGTGAAAACCTAACTCTGATGGGCGGCGGCGGCGGCGTCCTTGGCGTCGTGACCTTCTTGAAGGCGTCGCCTTGAGGGCAGTGTGGTGGCGGGCTCAGTATGGGGTCGGTGACAGCAGCCGAGGATCAAGGGACCAGTGGGCGCCTTTTTTGGTGGAGCGGTGCTTCATCCTACACATTGATGACGGCGGATCTCAGCGGCGTGGTGCAGTGGAGACTCGGCGCCCGATGCGCGGTGATGGACTCGCGCAGGTGGAGGCAGTTGTCTGGCGTCATGGTGGCATCGATGGCAGAGTGGCCTGACAAGGTAGAAGCCTCAATATCTGCTCTGAAGACGGACCCGTGGAAGATGGCGGCGACGACACATGTGAGTGCGTCAGACCAGTTTATGCCCCAGACCCGGTATGTAGCTCGGATGGGGCTTCTGGCTTTTGATGATAGGCTTAGGTGAGTGGTCCGGGTATTTGGCCCAGGTAGCACCCCTTCATCATATGGATAGGGGTAGTGGCATATGTTGCCAAAATGGCAGATTCAGGCATATTGTTGTAATACTTTGTAAGGTCCTCGAGAATAATCAATAAAGTGGCCGTATGCATCTCCTAGATGCAGAGGCCGGGGGTCATCCTCCTTTTCTAAAAAAATCATACCGGAAATATACTTGTCAAGGCTTTTGTTGCATACATACTCAAAGCAGAGCAACCTTTTCAGTATTTCAGCAAAAACATGCTTTCCACTCTGCTCTACCAATTCCCAACTTGATTCAGCACAGTAACCAATAAGTTGTACTAGATTTTGGTGCCTGATCGCTATAAGATGTCTGACTTCATCCTCGAACGTTTTATCGTCCAGCAGATGTATTTCAAAAAGCTTCTTCATGACAATGATTTTCCCACCCTTAAGAACTCCCTGTGTTTATCAGTTAAACCTCTCTTCATAGTATATACAAGTGTCTTTGATTCATTGCCGTTAATAATATTTGAAAAGTGGAGTAAACAAAATGGTCATACCTTGTAAACCACTCCATATCCACCTCTGCCAAGGTCCGATTCAGTGGAAAAATCACATGTGATGCCTTTCAAATTCTAGAGGAAGAAACATCGGTGTTGCTTTTGGATCTTGTAGCTTGTTCTACAGTTCATCACGTAAGATAGCCATTTCTGGTCACAGAAACCACCGTTTTAGAAAGAAAAGAGCAACTACAGACCCTTCTCGACAGATACTATGATGTGAGTTATTTACGTCTCAACAACTCAAACCACCATGTTAACTTTGATATTTACTAAAAGAAGAGTAGTCATCTACAGAAGGAACCTTGTTAATTCTTAGAAAACACCACGATCCAGCGGATCGATGTGACATGTAATCCCTAGGCATGATCCTGTTGAAAACAAGCTAGCTACTTCTGTGGATATTTGGCTTGATCAATACTACGAATAAACATGGGCATATTTCATCTACTAATTCTCAAGATCTGAGCGTATCAAGATAAAGATCGATCAAAAGGAGTCAGGCAGACAGTAACAGTAAGAAGCTGGAGCACTGACCTCGACGACTCATAGCTGCTCAGAAAACATGTACTGTTCAAGTAGAATATCAAGGCGCAGGAAGACTATCAGACTGTCGATCTGCCTTTAAAGGCTACCAATTTAGATCTAGACCAAACGGAGTACACTTGACATTGACACTCAGCCTGGGGTCCGCACACTAATGACGGTAGGTTAGAGAGACCGGTCCAGCCACAGTATCTAGCCATGGTAGATGAGATTCCACAGCATGTGATGTGATGTATGACAGATCCTGCCAATAATATCCGGGGTAGGTGAGCATCAAAACACAAGAGATTTTGGTGACATCCTTTACAATTGCCTGCTAACGTTGTAACCCTGCAGTCAAAATTTCAAGAGTTCAGATCCTGAGTCATAAGGATTCCTAACAGTACATGGAGGGGAACAGCAAATGTAGATTCTTAACAGCAATTGCTCACTTCATCTTACCCATGGTCCATGAAATAGTCTTGCCTGGCCCGGGGTCTGTATGCAGAGCATCTATTGTTCATCCAACTACCCTTTCGGCTTCTCAATCATCTTCATTTCTGCAATGAATGTTCAATGGACCGACACAATGATTCCATTGACCACTTGTCCACATGGCAAACGCCGGGTTCGGGTGCGGGTAATGGTGGCCCAAACCCATGCCCGTCTCGATATTTTTACCCAAATCCGTACCCGCACCTTGGCTTTCAAACTGTTCTCATACGCATACCCGTACCCACACCCGCACCTTGGGTTTCAAACTGTTCTCATACGCGTACCTGGCAGGGTGCAGGTAATTCCCGTGGGTAAAAATACCCATCTCGACCACCTTACCCAATTCAAACTTCACCGGTGAAATAGAAAGTTGAACCATTAGCATTGACAACTAGTAAACATGTGGAAATGGGATCACTTGAAGAAGAGGCTTGCAACGGTGGGTGAAAAAGGGAAATGAAAACTACCTCTAGTCAGTGCCGCCGAAGAAGCTCGCAGTACCGCGTCACGGTGGTGGAAGCAGCTCCGCACTGGGTGGTGGAGGAGGGACGTGTACGGCAGCGTCCCATTGCCACCACATCGCAGCCGTCGCGAGGGGTGTCTGCCAGCTTAGGAGGAAGAAGCGCCTCAAGGAAATGGGCTAGAATGCAACATGCAAGATGGCAACATCGTGGCCCAGTTCGGCAAGTCGAAGGCACCTGGCCATTTTAAGTTCAACAGACAATGGGTACCGACAACCCGCGAAACGGACGGGTAATAACCCTATTAGGGTAAGGGTTTGGGAAAAATAAATACCCGTGTGTTATAAATGAGAAAACTCGTACCATCAGATAAGCCAGATATGGGTATGGGAAGGCAATACCCATAGCCGCGTACCTGCATACCCATATACTAATACCTACTAATACCTGCATACCCATGTATATATGTGTGTATGTGTGTGTGCGTGTGCTCGCGCGCTGAAATGTTGAAGTAAACATACAGAAATATTGTGGATAAATGCGGAAATGCTGAAACATACATGGTGAAGTGTGAATTAGGTAAGGTGGTCAAGATGAGTATTTTTGCCTACGGGTACCCGCACCCGGACAAATATGGGTACGGGAACAGTTTAAAACCCAAGGTGCGGATATGGGTATAGGTTTAGGCAGAAAATATCAAGACAAGAATGGGTTTGGGCGACTACCCGCACCCAAAACCCGGGGGGTGCCATCTTGATTCCATCCTTTCATCCCAGCCCCTGTCCATGCGTTTCTAAGCCAAGCCATTCTTGCATGTATCAGCTCGTCCCTGGCCATGTATTCCGCAGCCACACATGCAATACATCTTCTAATCGTCTAGCATAATTTGCATACTTTCAAGGGAGAGAGCGCGGTGACGCAGGTTGTCATTGGGGACTTTGTGAGAACAACTAGACAGAGATAGTCAGATAGACTTCCACACTTTAAAAGCCATTTGAGTGTTAACCCAACCTAGCATGGGTAAGCCAACCGGAGAGAAACAGATCTAGAGTGGTGCCTGCCAGTTGATGATAGAAGCCATGGAGCTCAAGAACACCACCACAACGCTGGTCCAGCGCTTGAGCAGCACCGAAGCTCGGCTGATCCGCGTAGAAGTTCTGGTCCTCTTCAGCACCTTGGCGTGGGTTCTCCTTGAGCTGTTCGGCTCATTCCGCCGGCGGTATAGCCATGGGTTCTTCCGCCTCCTCGTCTGGACAGTGTACACACTGTCCACTGTGCTGGCGCCCTACACCATCGGCCTGCTGCAGGCTGGTCCATTCCGTGACCAGACGTTTGTCCTCTGGGGCACCATCCTCCTCCTGATACAAGTAAACCCTGTCTCCCTCTCTGTCTACAGTATCCAGGATATTGAGCAGAGGAAAAGGATGCTTGTGCAGCAAGTCATGCAAATCTTTCTGGTGCTATGGCTGATCATCAATGGGAGTGGTGGCAACAAGAGTTACAATGCTACCATATGGATTTTCTATATCCTGAGCATCATTTTGACATTCAGCAAGTTTGGGAATTTAAGTAAGGCAAGCAAAAAGGGAGGTTTGGTGGCGCATTCTAAAGTGATTGCTGATTACATGCTGGTTGAGCATCAGCTTGCTCCGGTCTTCAATCCATGCACTATGGAAGGGTACAGCTACATATTTCACGGGGAAATGGAATTGACTTCCCTGCTTCCAACCGCGCCTGACTACAGAGTTGTGTTAAAAGAGGTAATCAATTCAGAATACATCACCATTGATTCTGTTTGGCGATGGATCGAGTCTCACAGCTTCAAGCACAAGGAAACTGCGGAAGTTTACAAGGATACTGCGCTCTCCTTCACATTATCCAAACTGTTGAAACGGAGATTCTGTGGCTACCGACTCAGTGAAGCCGGCCTTGAGAAGACACTGCATCTCGTTCTTCATGGGCTCCTCTCCGAGAATGCCAGCTACGTTCGTGCTTTTCGTGTTATCGAGGAGGAGCTGTCATTCATGTATGATTTCTTCTATACAAGGATGGAATTTTACTGGGGGAGGTGGGGCATGTCAGCAGTTGCTACATTGTTTGCTATTGTTTGGAACATCATTTCCGGAGCACTCAGCAGACACTACCATCGTAGTAATTTGGAACAGAGAGTCAATGGAACCGATGTTATTCGTTGGGTTACCATTGTTTTGCTTGCCAGTTTAGCTTTGATAAACTGCACGACAACATTTATATCTCCTTCTAGGATGTTAGTAGTGGATGACATCCGGGAATACATTACCAAGTCACGAACAAAAACTGTAAATGAGAGTCCCACAAGAGAAGGTACTTGGGAAAGAAAGCTTGGGCAGTACTCTCTGTTACTCAACTTCGACTATGATCCATGGAATGCACTGCCTTTTCTGTCACTAGGCTTGCTCGATGCAACAAGAAAAGGACAGAAGTCTGACAAGAAGATAAAACTGGCAGATACAGTCATCATCCGCATCCTCTCTCAGTTCAAAAAGAACAACGGCAAGCTAGAAAATGGACAAGCAGCACTTGCTAGAAATCAGCTGGGAAGCCAATTCTCATGGGCCTGCAACTTGCCAACACACATCCACACAATCCTTGTATGGCATATCGCCACAACCATCTCCCGGAACGAGCTGTCGCTGGAGGGCAACGACGACCTTCTTGTTGCCGTGAGACTGTCGGATTACTGTGCCTACTTGGTAGCTTTTGTTCCCGACATGCTGCCTGGTCATGGCTACGACACACGACGCATCTTCGACGCTGTGGTCATGGAGGCTCGGCAGCGCCTTGCCGGATGTGAAACTCTGAGTGGTAGGTATGAGAAGTTGATCACAGGCTTGCATGACGACGATGGTACAATCCTATATAAGGGAGCCGAGCTTGGGAGGCAACTTAGAGATACTGTTCCTGATCAAGGACAGCGTTGGAAGGTGCTGGCTGACTTTTGGGCAGAGTTCATACTCTTCCTGGCGCCATCGGACAATGCGGACATCCATGCAGAGATGCTGGCCACCGGCGGGGAGCTCATGACCCATCTCTGGGCACTTCTCACTCATGCTGGTATTCTGGGGCGGCCCTCTTCCTCCTCTGGGATAGACCATCTGGGAGGGTTTAATGGTACCACTGCACAAGAGTCTGTGGTTTGATTTTGCGGTCTGAAGCTTATGCTATCTTTCGTCTGCTTGTGTAATTGGTTCACTCTGTTTGTTCATCCTATAAAAAGTTTGGAATTTCAGGAGTCCACGTGTTCGTCCTGTTTAATGATTGAGTTATATTGCGAAGTTTATGCTATCTTCTACTACTAATATGCTTGAAGATTGACCACAACTTTGGTCTGTAATAGAGCTGTAGACTCTTGTTCTTTTCAGTTTGTAATATGTATACTCCAAGAATTTGAAACTGCTGGGTGGTTTCATCATCCCTGTTCTGTTTATTTCACAACAGGTGACGTATGTTAGATGAGACCAGCCTTTTAGGACCCGGGAGTCTGGACTCCCTCTTATCATAACCATCCATGTACAATAGGAAACGTTGAGATCTGTGCCATGTCTAGAAACGCCAGTTGGATTAGCAGCCCCATACTTTTGTAATGCCGCAATTTTACCAGTGTTTCGAGCGCCACGTATCATGCATGCGCTCTAGTGGATCACTAGGTCCGAAGAGCATCGTAGCCACCTACTGTTGGTAGGCTGTGTAGCTGCCATTGACAGATGTGACCAACCATCCTTAGCTCCATCTCTCTCTCTACTCATTGTCACCTCTCTCTCAGCTAGATGACAGATGTGATCACTATAAGACTAGCCATAGTGAGAGTAACTTCAGCAGTAACATCGAGTCCAACTCAGCAAATTTGCTTTTGTGGCAGTGAGTTAATGAGAAGAGAGGTAGTAGTAGTAACTTAGCTAGTTACTGTAACATCACATGTCACAATGCAATATGAGTCTATAACCTAATAAATGAAGCTATGCATGTTACCACACTTATGTTACTACCCACTATGAAGGTAGTAACATAGTCTAGGAATACGTGTATGTTACTAATGTATGTTACTCTCCATTGTGGTTAGTCTAAAAAACACATGCATAGCCACGCCTTTTAGTCAGACTTTGAGAGAGCTTTTTTCTATTATTTTTAGTGAGAGAGAGCTTGTGAGAGACCCAAGAGAGACTGTGTTGTGCTTGAGCATGCATATGAGAAACAGTGACCACTGTGCAGCCTGTGCACTATGAAGGTAGTAACATAGTCTAGAAATACGCGTATGTTACTAATGTATGTTACTCTCCATTGTGGTTAGTCTAAAAAACACATGCATAGCCACGCCTTTTAGTCAGACTCTGAGAGAGCTTTTTTCTATTATTTTTAGTGAGAGAGAGCTTGTGAGAGACCCGAGAGAGACTGTGTTGTGCTTGAGCATGGATATGAGAAACAGTGACCACTGTGCAGCCTGTGCACTATGAAGGTAGTAATATAGTCTAGGAATACGTGTATGTTACTAATGTATGTTACTCTCCATTGTGGTTAGTCTAAAAAAACACATGCATAGCCACGCCTTTTAGTCAGACTGTGAGAGAGCTTTTTTCTATTATTTTTAGTGAGAGAAAGCTTGTGAGAGACCCGAGAGAGACTGTGTTGTGCTTGAGCATGCATATGAGAAACAGTGACCACTGTGCAGCCTGTGCATACATGTCAGACACTTTAATAGGATACACAGAGCGCATGCATACCCCTATAACCTGCTGCCTACCCCTATAGGCTACTTGTTCTATAATTAAAACAGTCAAATGCCTAGACAAGCATGCAACAGCTGCAAATGTTCTGCGATTGCACATAACACTGCACGAATCTCAAGTGCGCCAGACGGTAGGATAACCGGGGGTCGGGACCCCCGGGAGCTACAACAACTTTTCGATGTTAGATTTGTGTGCTATCTGTGTAAAAGCAGCGCAGAGTTGTTTGTTCTGGGAAGTATGAATAGATATTTGGGTAAAATCTGCACCTTGATATGTGGACAGAAGATTTAATCCACAGCTGCAGACCCCTGCTATTAGAGTTGTGCTTGAATACTTAGTCGACTTTCAGTTGTAAAGCCATGATTTGGCTAATTCGAGCTATTCTCTATCAATGGTACGAACCCCATGGGACGAGGTGCTAGTTGCCAGCTCCACACCCGGTTAACGTGAATGGAGTTTTCATCAATGAGCTAATCAAATCAAGTTTATTTAGTTAGGATCTCGATCGATCCCCAAGTCATTTCATACAGCTAGCTAGCTAGGTCTGTCATGTCTTGTTTAATCATGTGTGTGAGGCAGAAAGTGCAGAAGAACTGCACTGCAGTTATTGTTGGTGACCTCACCTCAAATGTTGTTTGGTTGGCTCTTCTCTGCATCCCAGTCCGAACTGCAAGTTGGCTGTCACGGAAGTCTGTCAAGAACGGTCGTCGGATTAACTGAGTTTCTGTTAGCCGTCCTTTAAAACTTTCTAGCAAAATAACACCTGGGAAGCACGAGCATAAGCATGTTGTTCAGCAAAGAGATTCCACCATACACCTAAAAATGCCTAATTCAAAAATGGCAAATGCTACATTTTGCACGCACAGGCAGATGCATGTGAGGTAAGACTTGCAACATATTTTCGCATGAAGTCAGCCTGAAGACTAATAGAATTTGGTTTGAGTATGTTGCAACCATTTCAATTTGTGTGAGGCTGCCGCTCCAATTCACAAAAATGTGCTATGCTATGAATCCATAAATTTGATCCAAATCGGTCACTTCCATCGCACAAATTCAGAGTAACAGCAGGTCAAAAAGATAGTGTACGATTACCGAAAAAGGATTTTCCCCGCTTTGTATTTCAAAGCAACCAACACCGAGTACAGATATCGCTGTGGCGAGCAACACAACACATCAAAAGAAAAAGAAAAAAAACAAATGCCAACCACGGCAGCTCGGCAAAGCGCGGATGACCCGCCACCGCGGCGCCCACCGGATACAAATCACCACAGACCGAGGCTCTGATCCGCCGCGTACCAAGCAGCACCTCCAAGAAGGGATGTGACACCGACGATGCTGCTGCCCGGACGAGTCCTCGGGTTCCCCCGGGCACGCGAAGGGAGGTGGGGGCTGTATACCACCGACACCCTCCAGGGAGGAATGGTGGCACCGGCAGGTGTCATCGTGTCGGGGCCGAAGCAGGCAGGGATTTCTCCCGCATTCCAACCCCAACCGCCCAACCGGACGGAACCGACCCGCCAAACCGTCACCCACCACCATGCGCCAACGCAGTAGCGCCGCCACCCACGCCACCTCACTACAAACACCACCACGAGGCCAAAAGGACCGGAGAGAAGCTCACCACGACGGGAGCAGCAACATCGACGCCGAGCGGGAGGGAACCACCTCCACCGCCGTCGTGCGGGAGGCCCGTGCCTCCGGCACCGTCGCGGTAGTTGTCCGGACGCGGCAGCGGGGCATGCCGGGCCACCCCTGGCCTAGCCAGGCCGAAGCGGGCCCGTTAAGCCCCGCCAACCGCGATGCAGCAGGCCGGCGTCAGCACCGCCGACACCCAGACACTCGTCGCATCTCCCACGCGTCCCAGAAGCCACGCCGGAAACCATCCCCGCCGTCGGCCCGCCCAAACCCAGATGGGGCCCGAAGGGCCCAGATCTGGGCCGAGCAGACGACGCCAGATCCCGCCGCCGCGCCGCCCTGCCAACGGCAGCGCCGCCGCCCAGCTACTCGCCTGCATGCGCAACGGAACCCCGCCGCCGCCTAAATGCACCCCCCGGAGCAGCTCCGCCCGTGCCGGAGAGCGACCGGGAGGGGAAGGGCCAGGAGGCCGCCTCCACCAGCAGCCCCGGGGCCAATCCGGCCGCGGGCGCCGGCGACGGCGGCGGGAAGGGAGGAGGGAGGGGGCCTGAAGGGAGGAGGCCTGGTGCGCGGCCGGTCGCCCGCGGGGGGGGTGACGCGGTCGCGCGCGAGAGAGGGGGATCCAATAGTGTACGATTCACCATGGATAACGACCGGCGGCTAACTAATTAGGCATTTCCATTTAGTATGTTGTCAAGGGTATCAGATTCTATCTATCTATTACTGATGTTACAAAGATTTCATAGTACCGAGAGCGAGTAGTTGTTCGAGCAGTACCAAGAGCTTGTAGCATGCGCAAATCAAACGCGTCGGCGAGGTGGGTGTGGCCGGCGGTCTCCGCCCGCTTCACGGCCAGCATCTTCACGCTGGCGAGGAAATCCTGCACCGGCACCACCATGGCACCATCGAACCTCTCGTCGGCAAGGTGAACGCAAGCGGAGGGAGAAGCTAGGAGAGAAGAGCGGGAGGGCACGTCCCGGACGAGCTCAGTCTCGGAGAGGGCAGCGAACCACCGCGAGTCCCCGGTACCGCTGCTCTCTGCGGCCGCGTGAGGTGGGGTTTGGCCGGCGGCGCGCGCCAGGAGAAAAGAGAAGAAGAATGGAGAGAGGGGAGAAAACACTGGGTCTGTGAGCTTCGATGGGCCCAATTTGAGTCGCTCACAAGACCACGCGGCCCATGTAGACTGTGTCAAAACCGGATACGATCGATGCTATAAAAAAAGGTCGAACAGGTACCTCCTCCGGGGTTCGTTATTGAAAAGGAGCGTCTTCTGGAGAATATCACAAGTGATGAGTTAGTGGACAAAAAGTCACATGAGCACTCCTCACAAGTTGCATGACCAGAAGAGAGGTTGAGGCAATCGAGCGGTGATGTTTTTTTTGAAACGGAAAGCACATTGGCGAGCCCCATAGAGGGAGATCGCTAGGAGCAACGAAAATAATATGTTGGGCTCACGCCCTACTGTTACAAAAGTTTAACATAGGGTTGAGCCATGGCAGTGACCATGGTTATCTAAAGCGGCCGGGGCTGTGCATTAATTCCTCAATGATCAGCCTGCTTATGTATTTAATGGGATTCTATAGTCTCCATGAATCCCTTCGGCACAACATTGCTAAGTACCTATTCCAATTCTTCTGGACGGGAAAGTGTAAAACTATCATATGGGTCAATGGTAGGAAATCTGCAAACCCTAGTATCAACGAGGCATGGGAATAATTTCCTCCAAACGGATGAATATCACGCTGCTATCTAAATGGCTTTGGCGGATTGCATCCGAAGGG